TGCCATTTACTAATTCCATGCAAATAAATATTTATGATATGAATTTAAATGTCAGGGGCAAGCACAGTGTGAAATATCACTAAATGCCATAAACAGTTCAAGAGATGAAACTGGTTCTCTCTTAAAATGCTATCTTCCCAAACTAGTTGTCAAGTCCCAAATGTTGAGCTTGGCTGGGTGTTAAAACAATCCCTGTCATAGTCATTTGCAGGTGTCGTGCCAGGGTTGGATGTTCCATTTTTCTCTTTCTGTTCGTTTGGTGGTGGTTGTTGTTGTTTAGAATTTTTTTTTTAATATTTATTTTTTAGTTTTCGGCGGGCACAACATCTTTGTTTGTATGTGGTGCTGAGGATCGAACCTGGGCTGCACGCATGCCAGGCGAGCGCGCTACCGCTTGAGCCACATCCCCAGCCCCGGTTGTTGTTGTTTTTAAGTTGTAGATGGACACAGTTCATTTATTTATTTATGTGGTACTGAGGATCAAACCCGGGGGCTCATACATTCTAGGTAAATGCTCCACCACTGAGCCACAACCCCAGCCCTGGTTGGTTGTTTTTAATAAATACCATTTCTGAGTGGTGAGTGCTCATTATCAGTTGAACTCATGGAAACAGTTGTGGATTCTGCCAGATTTCTGAACATAGCCAAACAGTGAATGCTGGAGAGGCTGAGGGTAGATAGCTGGTGGAACAGGACCTCCACATTAGGTAACCATTAAAAAGGAGGGATAGCTGGACTTGGGAGGCTGAGGCAAGAGAATCATGAATTCAAAGCCAGCCTCAGAAAAGGTGAGGTGCTAAGCAATTCAGCGAGATCTCTCTAAATAAAATATAAAACAGGGCTGGAGATGTGACTCGGTGGTTAAGTGCCCTTGGGTTCAATTCCCAGTACCAAAAAAAAGGAGGGGTGATTCTTAATATCTTCACATATTCTTCAAGAGCATACCTTCATTAAATTGATTTAACTTTAAATTTAAAAGGAGAAATACCTATGCTGCTCTTGAGATAATGGGTTGTTTTATTCTAGTAATTTTTAGTGACCTTTTTAATTATTAAAACTACCTAATGGAGAGGTTTTTCTTATTCCTTTATCTAATAAGAATTTCTAGCCTCAATATTCCATTCCCTGAAATAAAATGCAAATTTGCCCTGAAATGTAGTTTTAAAAACAAAAGTCTGTTTTCTTAGATTACTTCATAAATAACGAGTACCATATCAGCTCTCCTCTCCCCCTTCACATTGTGGCGATTACAGGTAGATGCTCAATATCACCGCGCAGCACAAGATAAATAAGCTTCCAAGGTTTCCTAGCAACATATTGTTCTGGGAACCTGCTGTTTCCCTGAACAAAATGAAGCCAAACATCCTAGAATCTCAGCCAGATGGGAAAGGATTAGCTTATGGAGGATGTTTCGTGTATTTTTTAAAAAAAAAAAATTCACTTGGAAATGAACCTTTTAACATAAGTAGCTTAAAAAAAAAACACTCTTTTACATGTAAAAAAATCTTAGTGATAGAATTTTTTTTAAAATATGGTTTTAGAAGAATTTTCTAGGAACAAGTTGCAATATGTAATTCAGTCATTGATGAACAGATCCATTTTAGAACAGTAGAAAATGCTTCCACCTGGGACTGAAATTCAGCCTTCACCCTGCGGTACGGCATCCCAATTGCAAAGATGTTGAACACCTCCCATCTGGTGGGTTGGGGCTGCTGAGTAGACGCTTCAAGGCACCTTCAGCTGCCCCCACGGCCCTGCTTCTGGGGATAACACTCAACACCTTGCCACTGCATAAAACCCTGGGACTTCTCCCCTCTTTTCCAGGGCTCCAGGGTTGTTTCATTTGCTACTTGATCTTCAGAGTCTGTGTCTGGTTTTTTGATTAGTTCATACAGAGAAAGGGAATTACAATCGAATTCTAGAAAAATATGGTTGTTTTCCTAGCACAGGTCTGTGTGTTTCCCTTGTTTATCTAGCCATCTGTGAAGTCACACAGTTGGTAGGTGGTGCTTTCCTTCCTGCTGCTCTCTGGTTGGTCACAGTGCATTGTGGAAGGTCTCTGGAGATGGATTAGTGTTTCTCATGACCGCACTCAATGGTGGCCTTGTAATTCAGTTACACCCTCGAAAGTGTCCCCATTTGTTTGAAAGGGAGATATTTTTTCATCAGCCAGATGAATATTCTCACAACGTGGTTGTCTAGTGATTTGGACTGAGTTTGTGAAACTTCCCAACTGTGCTCAGAAGCAGAAAATTCCAGAATTTCACAGTGCTCCTGGATAGAAATAACAAAGTAATTAGAATGAAGAGAGTGATACCTGGAGTCTGCTTTTTTTTTAATATTTATTTTTTAATTTTAGGTGGACACAATATCTTTATTTTATTTTATGTGGTTCTGAGAATCGAACCCAGTGCCTCACGCATACTAGGCAAGCACGCTACCACCTAAGCCACATCCCCAGCCCTGTAGTCTGCTTTTTAATTTAACTCTGTAGTCAGATTCCAGAGTATTAAAACTGTCTTTAAAATTATAAAATAATTATGAATATGCTGGTTGCTTTCCATTCTCTTCGGCTGTCTCTCACACACATACATGTTTTCCAAACGTCATACTTTGAACCGAGGAAGAACCTGTCGAGGGCCCAGGATAGACCCATCCTGTGCTCATTGTCATGGTGGATACCGAGGGTACAGACCACGTCCTTGCCTTCCTGCTCCTCAAGATGTTTGCAAAGTGGCATGTTTATAATCTCAAAAACAAAACTGCTTTTCTTCATTTCAAGTCCCTTTCTCAGGCATCTAAACACTAAGGAAAGATTTTGGTGTTTAAAGGAATTACATGGGGCAGTGTAGCTCAGCGGTAGAGCACTTGCCTTGCAAATGCGAGGCCCTGGGTTCAATCCTCAGCACCACATAAAAATAAATAAATAAAATAAAGGAATTGTAAAAAGAAAACATGGTATATATAGACAATGGAATATAAAAATAAAAAATAAAGGCATTGTGTCCAACTACAACTTATAAAAAATAAATAAAGGAATTACATAATTTGGCCTTTTAAGGAAAGGCTGAAAGTAGACCTGATTTGTCATGTGGAGCAGAATAGGTTGTAATATGTTCATTTCGACTAAAGCTTTTTTTTTTTTTTAATTCAAAATTTTCTATTATCCAAGCATTTCTTTAGATTTCTCATTTATATGTTATTTAACTCTCCTGTCAAGCATTATGAGGTAGAAATTTATTTACCCATCATTTTATAGATGAACAACTGAGGCCGAGAAGTTAAATACCTCTTTGCAGAGAGATTACAAAGTTTGTAAATAAGTAATGAGCATTGGGACCCAGGTTTGTCCAGTGCCAAATTCTATGATCTTTATGGTATGCTGTGTTTATTTATTTATTTTTAAAATCAAAGATTCTATATGATTCCAGTCCTTTCAGAAAGAGTCAACTACTGTCTTTTGAGGATGACATTATTTTAGCAAGAAGTAGATGAGTTGTTTATAGATGTTGAGATGATTTATTGTTGTTTCATTACAGTGATACTGTATTTTTTCAAGTTTCATCGTCAAATTTTAGATCTTTGTTTTTGGTATATTAACCCATTTAAAGACATTTATTATTGCTCAACTTTTTACTTCTATTAAACAATTTTTATTTTCAATATGATAGAAGACTGAATTACACTTAATGATAGTTAAAATTAATAGTACTATTAAATACATAGATGAGAAGAGTTGTGACAACAGTATTTAAAGTAGGTGGACAGACCGTGGCTGTTTTTGTGAATGGAGCTTTGCTGGAACATAGCCACACTCATCCCCTTATGTGTCACCTGAGGCAGCTTTTTTGTTGTTGTTCTATTAAGTTATATATGACAGTAGAATGCACTTTGACACGTCATCTATAAATGGGAGTATAACTTCTCATTCTTCTGGTTGTACTTGATATAGAATCACACCGGTCATGTCGTCATTTATGCACAATAGGGTAATTATGTCTAATTCATTCTACTACCCTTCATACCCCTCCCCTCTCTTCACTCCCTTCTGCCTAACCCCAAGTAACTCTATTCTTTCATAGCTCCAGCATCCCTGCTTTATTTTGAATTAGCATCCACATATCAGAGAAAACATTTGGCCTGTGTTTTTTTTGGATTGGCTTATTTTGCTTAGCATGATATTCTCTAGTTCCATCCATTTATTGGCAAATGCCATCATTTTATTCTTCTTTAAGGCTTAGTAATATTCCATTGTGTGTGTGTGTGTGTGTGTGAGTGTGTGTGTGTGTGTATACATTTTCTTTATCCATTCATCTGTTGAAAGACAACTAGGTTGGTTCCGTAGTTTAGCTATTGTGAGTTGTGCTGCTATATACATGGATGTGGCTGCATCACTGTAGTATGCTGATTTTGAGTCCTGGGTATAAACTGAGGATAGCTGGGTCAAATGGTGGTTCCATTCCAACTTTTCTGAGGAATCTCCATACCACTTTTCATAATGGTTGCACTAATTTGCTGTCTCACTAGCAATGTATGAGTGTGCCTTTTTCCCCCATCTTCATGCAATAGCAAGAGTTGAATGGCTGTGACCTTGATCTTATTGCCTGTACAGCCAAAAATACACTCTCTGGCCCTTTACGGGAGAAGTTTGCCAAGCCTTGCTTTAGAATATAGGCTTCCCCCCAGCCTTTGGCTGGGAATGTTCCTTTAGAATGCCAGAAGCATTGGGAAGTTTTTTTCCCAGCCAGGTGTGGTGGCACATGCCTGTAATCCTAGAGACTCTGGAGGCCGAAGCAGGAGGATGGCAAGTTCAAGGACAGCCTTGGCAACTTAGTGAGACCCTGTCTCTAAATAAATAAATAAATAGAAAGGACTGGGGATGTAGCTCAGTGGTAGAGCACCCCTGGGTTCAATCCCAGTATTGTGGTGTGTGGGTGGGGGGGGCAGCGGGGATCCTAAATGATTGTCTTGTCTAATGCAATTTTCTCAAAACTCTGCAGGTACCAACCAAAAAGCTGAAAAAATATGAAAAAGAATATCAGACAATGCGAGAGAGTCAACTGCAGCAGGAAGACCCAATGGATAGATACAAGGTATGGGAGGTACTGTGCACCTGTCAGCAGTGTGCCTTTTTATCTGAAAGCAGCAGTTGTGGGGATTTCATTTCCCTCTGGCCCACCCCAATCCACCGAGCACTGTCTCGTCATGCTGACTGTCCAGGTGTGTCTTCGTTTCTGGAGACTCCCAAGTAGCCAACCATAATATTTCTTTTCTCTCAGTTTGTATATTTGTAGGTAACTCCAGCTGTTGCATTTATACTGGAAATCTTCATAAGAAGCTGAGAGAAAGGGAAAAAGAAAATGAGAAAGTGGCTTTCTACTTTCAAAAATGAGAAAAAAAGGAAAATGGCAAAGTACTGTTTTAGCTGTGCATGATCACTTCCTCAGAGACTTTTAGAAGGTGAACTGTTGCAAGACTGGCACAAGGATGTTTCAAACTTATTTCTGCCTGTAGCAAATGTTAAAAAGACAGACTTACTTGGAAGGAAAAATAAAAAACCACAAAGGTACCTCAAGCCCAGTAATGGAGTTTGTTGCAACATTTACTTCTATAAACAAATTCATGGGTAATGGTGACATTTGACACAGTATGCAGTCTTAGAATCAAAGTGATTTTATTTTAATCTCTTAATTGTGGATTTTTTTTTAAAATTAGGCCATTTGTGATCACAATAGTAATTAGCAACACTGGCCCCTGAATAGTGTTGGGAAATACTGATTGCCAACTTACTTTTTCCAAGTGAAACATTTTTGTCTTAATTCTTCAGACTCATGCAGATGCACAAGTCCCTCCCTCTCATTACCCCACTAATGCCAAAATGTCCTGCCAAGAGAAGTATTATGGTAGCCTTGTTAATGAAATCACCCAGAGTGGGATGGCTTCCACCGTGGTAACTAGAGTTGCCTTTATGTGGGCAGCACAGTCACACAGTGCATCTTCAATGTGTTGCTGAACTGAACAGCGTGGAATGTGTACAGAGGAGCAGGGTGGAAGGAGTGTATGGATTTTGTAGTCAGAAGACCTGAATTGAAATTGTGGCTCTTAAGAGAAAGGGCACAGGATTTGGAAACCTAATTGGAGATTTTAGAATCTATGCTGCTGTTCAGCATCTTGGACTAGTTATTTTTTTTTTTTTTTCACATCTGTTAAATGTGTAGTGAACATAATTTCTTGATGGATTTGTGCGAGGTTGAGGGATGTTGTGTGTTAAGTACTCGGCACAGGGTTAATGTTCAGTAAATTTGGTTATTATTAGCTTATGAAGACTACTACCACAAATTATCCAAGAATTACTGAAATAACATAACCTCACATTGGTCTGCCCCTCCAGTCCCTCATGGATCTTCCTCTATTTCTCCCAGGTATTGCTACTGAGTAACCTACCACCAGTCAGTATGCTTCTCCCCTTGCTTATAGAACTGGCTCAGGAGCTGCGAATAAAATCCCACATAGAGCTACGACAGATAACTACCACCAGATAAGAGCTAAAGCTACTTCCCACCACCATTGTTCCACAATAAGTCCAATTTTAATGTTGGTCCTATAACACTCTACTGTAAAAAGTTTTGAAGGTAGTAATGGTAGATCCAGAATGAAACCCTACTACTGCTTATATAGTTTTAATTTCCTTAATGCCACCATCATTATGGAAAAAAAATCTAAAGAGTGCTTTAAAGTAAAAGAGGAAAATGAAAACCCAGCCTTGTACTTTTAAAAACAGGCTAGGACTGAACTGTTACCATGTTTTTCTTTCTTTTGTCAAAGCAGGTATGTATAAATAAATAGTAAAATGTGTGTTATTTTTAAAAAGTGCTTATAACATGTAGGATTATCAGTTAGTATATTTTTCATTGAAGGACTAAATTTTCATTGAAAAATTAAACTCTATGGTTTTGTTTTGAATGCAAATATTTTAAATTCAAGTGTTGTAGTGTCTTATTTGCACATATCAGATAACCTCAGTAATTGTTCCTTTTGGATGATTGTAATAGCTTCTCACTATATTATCTAGGGTAGCATCTCTCAGTGTTTTCAACGATATCCAGGCATTTGTCTGGTGATGGGCGCGGTAAATTATAATTCCATTTTCAATATAGTTGACAACACATATGACAAGATAGTTTCCAGCCATCAACAGATTTGGTCCTTCAGATGATTAACATCTAGTTTGAGAAGCTAATGGTAAGATAGGGGATGTAGCTTAGTAGAGGAGTGCTTACCTTGCATGTAAAGTGTAAAGTGTGTAAATCCCTGGGTTCAATCCAGAATATCAAAAATTTAAAAAAAAGAAACTAATCATTATTTTAATTAAAGTAGTGAAGTATTTTAGAAAATACCTTTATAATACTTAATCTTGTCAAGAATAAGATCTCTGCTGATAATGAACACTTTGTAATTTTTAGATTTTGGACTAGGAACCCAGTTTAAGTAAGTGCTTTAAGAATAATGTGAGGGGTGGGCTGGGGTTGTGGCTCAGTGGTAGATTGCCTGCTGAGCATGTGTGAGGCACTGGGTTTGATTCTCAGCACCATATTAAATAAATAAATTAAGATTTTTTAAAAAAATAATAACCAGGAAAGATCTTTTAAGGCATTGAGTGAGAATTTTGCATCAGTTCAGTATCCACTCATCCCGAACTTTGGAACCCACACTGCTTAAAATGCCACATCTACCCCTAGTTTGCCATATGGCAACAGAGTTTGGAAGACAGTGGGAATTTTTACTTATTATTTTTATTTTTAAAAAATTTTTTTCCTACTTCTTTCAATTTTTACTTTTTAAATGCCTAGAAATGTCATACAACAGAGGTATTTCAGATGATGCTATTTCTCATGGTCTTGGTGGCATACATCAAAGTGCTCTTGTAACCGGGCATGGCAGTACACACCTGGAGTCCCAGCTACTTGGGAAGTTGAAGCATGAGGATCACCTGTGCTCACAAATTTAAGACCAGCCTGAACAACTTATCAAGACCCTATGTTTAAAAAAAAAAAAAAAAAAAAAGGTATGGCAGAAAAGGCAGAATTTGAATCAAAGATGGCCCTTAGAATTGCAGTCACACTTCTTGCTGTGTCCGTCTAAGCATGTGCTTGTGCATATTTTTATGACATATGCAAACATTTACTTTCTCGAGTTACCTAGCCATTCTCACTTTTATCCAACACTTCAATCTCAGACAAAAAAAAAACAATAAAATAATGTTAGTATAAATTTAAATTCTAAAACCATAATCATGATGAAAAATGTTCTGAGTTTAGGCAGTGATAATGGTCACACAATTTTGTGAATATCCTAAAGCCACTAAATTGTACATTTTAAGAGCATGGTTTTATGGTAGGTAAATTACAGCCCTCCACCAAAGGAAAAACAAACCCAAGCTAAATGTTCTAGTCTACCATCTTCCTTTTTATGGACCCCAAATCACACCAGATGTACCTGTGTAGAAGCCACACTAGTGGGAAGGAGGCCTTCCTGTCAGAATCTGAGCTAATTAATGATCATCAACCCCATGTGTACCCTTATTTGTAGGGGAAAGACGAAGACAAATGGGTGGTATGTTCATTTTTAGTGATGCTTTTTAATTTCTAGATATAATATTAGCAGTGCCTACACATACATATGCACAGAGACATGTGCATACGTGAATAGGTGACACCCACACATCCTGCACTGCCTGTCTTGGCATCAGTTTGTATGTGACCTCAGTGAACCCCACATCGCCTGCTTCAGGGTTCTCTTTCTGGTTCATTTCATGATAAGATTCAAAAGACAGAAAGGAATATAGAATATTTTAAATCGTTTTTAACATCCTTCTTAACTTGGGGTTGGCTCAATTTGTGGAATAGTCTTTATCTACTCCAGTGTTTTGATTTGTGAATTTCTTGATTGATTTCTAATGAGGTGGAATGTGGGGTGAGGATATAGCTATAGAAATGCATCAAGTACATTTCCACTTTTGCACAACTCCCCAGAAAACATGTTTATGGATAGGTATAGTTCTTTAGAACATTTTTAAAATTAGTAACCAGGCCCCTAGCAAACACCCTTTTCAGAATCAAAATACTGTTTCTATCTTAAGGTAGTGAAATGTTTTTGTTTTGTTTGGGGGGGTGCCCCCCCCAGCCACAGGGGTGGAGTACCAGGGATTAAACTCAGGGGAACTCACCCGCTGAGCCACATCCCCAGCTCTATTTTGTATTTTAGTTAGAGACAGGATCTCACTATTGCTGAGGCTGGCTTTGAACTCTAGATTCTTCTCTCCTTCCTCAGCCTCCTGAGCTGCTGGGATCACAGGCATGCGCCACTGTGCCCAGCAGTGAAATGAAATGTTATTGTGGGGAAAGGTGGTTTCTAGGGACATAAGACTTCGTGCATATGCTCTTCCTTTTAATTAGAGAACTATTCACAAATGGGGGCAAGCCTTGAAAATGCAGCTAAGTAATTTAATTAAGTTCAGTGAATCTCCCAGAGCATAGTTAAGGTTACCTGTTCTGGATGGGAAAATCCTACAGAGTCTGGAAAGCTCAACTCTCTTGAGTTTGAGATACAGATAGTATTTTCTTTTCTTCTCCTCCTTCTCTTTCCACAATACAAAGGACTGAACTAGGGGCACTTTACTATTTTTGTAGAGCAATTGTTACTATGTATAATTTTTAAAGCTTTTTAAATTATACATAGTAAAAAATCATACAAAATAGTGACATAAAACTTAATTATACTTATATTATTTGCCATTTTCATGTATTTATTAAAATGATTTAGAGCAACTGTCACATTTTAAAAACTTGAACAAATGAACATGTTTAAATTGTAGTAAATTTCTTACCTATAAACTCTTTTGTTTATAGGTACTTTCCTCCCTCTGTGTTGGGTCTTTCCTTGCTCATGGAAGTCAAGATAAGTGAATCCATGTTGAAAAATGTTGTTCTGCCAGTGAAAGCTTACATTTTATCATTTTCTCATGAAAGGATACTGTTACTGGCTTTCAGAAATATTTATTTTAGGACATATGTTTTTAATAGTAATGGATACAAGTTGCTTGTGATAACTAATGGTCTATTTGGGAAGGCTGCCACTTTCTTTTTGACCTGCATAACAATGAGCTTATTGTTGTAGGACCTTGGAGACCACAGCTAGAGCCCTGGGGGCTTCTCAAGCACAGTAGCTAGCAAGGAACTGAGGCTTCTATGCTCTGGTGTTCTGACTGGCTTGGTCCAGCCCTGAGGGGAGGTTTAAGTGCAAAGCACCTGAATTTTGAGTGTGTTTCTTGATGATCTTCAGAATCCTCCAGATATTCTCTTTAATTTTTAGAAAGTTTTGTTTCCTGTTAACCTGAGAAAATATGACACTAATATGTTTCTACATCTTCTGTAACCTATTTGTTTTTAAAATACTTGTTGGTATGCTAAAGAAGAGCAGAGATCCACAAGTAACAGTCTTTGGGCCAAATCTAGCTCACTGCTGGTTTTTGTAAATAAAGTTTTATTGGAACACAGCCACATCTTTTTGTTTACTTATTGCCTAGGGCTGCATTAAAAATGACTGTGGTAGAGCTGAGTGATTTCAACACAGATGTGTGACCTGCAAAGCCTGAAATATTTGCTCTCTGGCTATTCACATTAAAAGTTTACTGACCCCAGGGGCTGGGGTTGTAGCTCAGTGGTGAAGCACTTACCTAGCATGTGTGAGGTACTGGATTTGATTCTCAGCACCGCATATAAATAAATAAAATAAATGTCTATCAACAACTAAAAAAAAAAAAAGTTTACTGACCCTGTGCCAGAGTATCATTTAAGATTTTTTTTTATTTTAATGCTAAGAGAAATGCAGTCTGGTCTGCCAACTGTCAGTTATCACCAAAAAGATTTTGTTTTTAGTTTGACATTTAAATTTTTTAAAGTCTCCACCAGAAAGATAAAATTGGATGTGATGAGAAAGAAATGAAAGCATTAAACAGTTTCAGATACCAGATTTTCTCCTCAGATCTCCATTTACATGCAATATAGACATTTGAACATTTCATCTGTGGACATTTGTCTTTGTATGTCAAAAATTGTATGCTGAAAATTTGAAAATGATTATCAACTCTTTTAAAAGAGGTATCCAAAAGAAAGCATGGATGCATTGCATGTGTTGTTGCTAATTAAGTTGTACTGGGTCTTTTAGAAAAACATTTTTTCCTGACCCTTAGATGTCTTTAAAAAAGCATGAGCCAAGAATTCATCATAGCAGCAGACAACACACCCAAAATATTGAGCCAGGGTTTATGTAGCCACCTCCTTCCCCGTCATTTTTTCCCCTAGCGCTTAGTTTATTTTCTCCTGATTGCCAGTTCACATTTCTCTGGTTTCTCATCTTGGAGTAAATGATTTCACCCTCCTTTGGACTGCTTGATGCCGGCTTCAGCCTCCAGAAACAAATGAGAACTGGGATCAGTTTTTCTTTTGGATTTCCCTGCTCAGCGATTTCATTCTTTTGCCTGAAGATGAACTATTTTGCAAGGCTGCTGACCTTGTCATAGAGGGAAGTTCCTCCTGTCAGCATTAATAGCAATATCCACAGCTCACCCTGTAGTTGCTCATACTTCTACAGCCAGCGTCTTCATCAGTCATAAGAGCTGCAAATAGCAGTGTGGGGAGGGAGGAGTTTGCAAGTAGAGCCTTCCTGGGTTGAGACTTGCCACTTGGCTGCCTCTGGCATACTTTATTCCATCGAATGTTAGCAGCAGGAACTTAGAGCATACGACTCTAAGAAAAAATAGCATTAACAAGTGTGTTTTGTTACTGTCATTTCCTGTATGTATTAGTAGGTGTGTGATTTCATTGGATATTCCTTTTTTTTCGATTGTCTTTGTACCTATGATTGAAAACGGTAGTTGGTCTATGACTTTTGAGGAGGTAAGTTTTTAATCTATGTGTGTCTGTATCAGCGTCTGTCTCTTTGAAAAATGCAGTATCCTCCTCCCAAAAGTTACTAAAGGAACTTTCCCAGCTGTGGGGAGGAACTCCTGAGGAAAGTCTACCTTCTGTGGGAATAGTGTAATTTGTGTGAGATGGAGTTTGTTTCAGACAGCGGGAGGCCAGTTTTAAGGATTATGTAACCAACATCTCCTGCACTCTTCTGAAAGGCCAGGGGAACAGTCGGTTTGTTTTGCTTACAGTCTGGGCCTTCAGCACGTCTGCTTTTGTAAACGTGCAGCCTGTCAACAACTCCAAGGTGACACAGATTATCTGGCTGAACTGAAGTCTCTCCTGGGCGGACTTCACCAACATTCAAAATGAACATATTGCCTTTTCCAGGCCCATCAAACCTAACTTAACTTCTTCATTCCAGTGGAAAGGCAAACTTTTTCTGAAATCAGTCAGTTCTGAAAACCGTTTCAGCTCTTGGTAAGGGCTGGAAAAGCCAGCTGAGTGGTGTAATTTCTGCTGCCCCTTGATACACAGGGGCAGGTTCTTTGTAGAAAATCTCCATCTGGGTGGCAGCATCTCTTTGTAGCACTCAGTAGGCATCTGTAGCACCAAACAACATGTGAGGACCCCTGGCCACCCTAGGCTTGTACTTTGGAGGAGAATACTGCACTTTGGCCCCGTAGCTTGCTTTCCCACCTGTCTGTGAGTCAGAGCAGGCATCCTGACACCTCCCACCCTGCTGCTTGCTTTGCAAACACCAACCAGAAGCTTCTTGCTAAAGCAAAAGCCAGTAGGTGCGCCCCAGGCTCTTCTGCTTTTTAGCCCCTCACTTTCTCCGGGTCTTTCCCACCCACACCTGTGCCTCCAGCTGTGGGTCTCGGGCAAGGCTGAAGCTGCAGTAGTCCTTGTAGTGAGAAGTTGCAGTTAGAATTTCGGCGGAACTCACTTCTTTCCTCTGTAATACATAGTTTATCAAATGTTGATCTCTAACCAATAATGAAGTAGCTCCCTGGTACATTTTTAAAATACTTGAACATAGTGCTTTCCCACAAACAACATGTGAATTTACCTGGAGATGATTTAACTCAATTCTAAGCATATTACTGTAGCCTGAAAAACTGGTAGCTGCAACATTTTCACCTGTGCCAGATTAACCTAGTTACGTAATAGAGGAAGCATTTCTAAGGTGGAGTTCTACAGTACAGTTTTGGTAGGAGTGAGGCACTCATGTCAGGATTAGGTTTTGAAGTCGTCTTATCTTGATTTCTTGAGGGATTTATTGAGAACTGAGAAAAATCTCTTCCCACGTAAGCAGTCTGCTTTGTGAAATCCGTTGTGTTGAAATTGTGCTGGGTGTGGCTGCTCTTCTGTCAAGAAGGAAATTTATTAAAAGTTTTGAAACATGTTTTTAAAATCTAAGTGTTCTACAAGTATATAAGTTCAGAAATAAAGATACATCAGAAATAAATATTAGCTCTCAAGAACCTGTGAGAAATTGAGTTCCTTTGGCTTGCCCAATGTTCGACTGTATAAACTCTGGCTGTGTCCCCTGGATACATAGATTAGTTCCTACGTTTATGCTGCTTTGGTAGCATGGACCCTGTGTGGGTTGAGGGAACAGACAGAATCAGATGAGTACGAGTTGCCCCTACAAATACAAATAACTGTCTCTTCAGAAATAGCTTGGGAAAGGGTTACACTATGCCTCTGTCACAAAGGAGATCCAGTATTTCAGATGGGGTATGACCTTATAACAGGAATGGACTTAAAACAAAATTTTATCCTTTTAGATGGAATTTAAATTCTAAATTTCCCCTTTTTTAAAAAACAAAACTTTTAAAAATCCTATTACAAATTTATTATATATTCCAAGAAAACTTGGAAACTTTCTTTTAAAAAGGACAAAGACAATAATGAAAATAATATACTACCCACAGTTAATATTTCTTTTTATACTGTTAAACAAATGGGATTTTCTAGGTGGGCATGGTGGCACATGCCTGTAATCCCAGCAATTTGGTAGGCTGAGGCAGGAAGATTGCAAGTTCAAATCCAGCCTCAGCAGTTTAGTGAGACCCTGTCTCAATATAAAAAATAAAAAGGGGGGCTGGGCTTGTGGCTCAGTGGTAGAGCGCTTGCCTCGCACACATGAGGTACTGGGTTTGATCCTCATCACCACATAAAAATAAATGAATAAAATAAAAATATTGTGCCCATTTACAACTAAAAAAAAATTTAAAGAATAAAATAAAAAGGGTTAGGCATGTGGTTCATGGCCCAAATAATTTTCTCATTATTTGTCTTTTTTCCCCCTACAAGGTAATAAGCATTTCCTCAGTTACTAGATATTTTTTTCTTAATATTCTAAAACTGAAATTTTGCCACTTAAGAGTATTTAAGTGATTTGGAATTATTTCCTTTTTTTATGTTTAGTAGATATCTTTCTCAAGAATTTTCTGATATCCCCCAACTATCTTAGTCTATTTTTTTTTCCAAAGAAAAAGATATAGTCAAGTTGGCTACACTAGCACATGCTTGAAATCCCAGCAACTCAGGAGGCTGATGAAGAAGGATCAATCATAAATTCCAGGCCAGCCTTATTAGCAAATTAGCAAGAACTTGTCTCAAAATAAAAAATAAAAAGGGCTAGGGGATGTAGCTTAGTGGTAGAATATCCTTGGCCCAGTGTATAATAAGAAAGGGGAAAAAAAGAAAAAATAACAAAGAAAAAAAGAAAATATGCAAAGAGCAGGTTTCTCCCGTATCTTTCTTCTGACCGTCCCTTTTAATGGATCCTCTGCCTCCATGACAACCTCAGATTTTGCCCTTATCATCTGTTTCTTAGCCCTTCTTGGGAGGTGGGGGGAGATGATTAGGTTCTCATGACAGACTGTTCTAAAGATAATAGAATTAACTTTGCCCCCTCTATTATACTGTGGAACACTCTCTTCTAAAACATATATTTATCTTCTTGTATTCTTTTTGTGTGTGTGTTTTTTTCCCTCTCATCAGTGCTTTGTCTGCTTCTACCTCCCTTGCAGGAAAAAAAAAGGGGGGGCGGGGTTAGAAGTGTAAATCTAAACTTGGTTTTGTCACATCTAAGTCTTTCCTGTCAGCTCTGTTTTGACTTGCTTGTAATTGCTAACAGTAGCAAAGAAAGCACAGATGATACTCTATAGAGTAGAAGGCACTAAACTGCTCTTCTGAGACTAGATATAAATGTACCAGACTCACAACCTCTAGTGAAGGGGAGACCTTATTTCATAAGCATCAGACACTTGGTTCTTTCATCATATAACTTTGCTTCAGATTTTTTCTGGGAGCAGAAAAAAATGAAAAAAACTTTTTTTATTTTTTAATGGGGGGAAAGGATCCAAGCTTAGTAATTTATTTTACCCAGAGTCTTTTTAATCTGAAGGAGCAAAATAGACATTTAGAAGACTTTTTATGGGGACTCTTATTGTTACTAATATAAAAGTAGATTGTATTCAGAAAAGTCAATGTGATCTCACTCACAGAATAAAAAATATCAGCTAATAGCAAGTCACAAGCCCAAGTATCTAGACTCTTGATTTAGTGTTTTTAAATATTCTCAATCATCTTGAACCCAGATCTTGGAAAACAATTTGGAGAAATGTCTAGTGTCATCCCTGCCGCGTCTTACCATTTCTCGTCAGGTCCAGGGTGGAGTTATTGTGCATGTGTCCAAGAATTGCTTGTCGTCTGCATTCTAGGTCTATGTGGGAACTTCATGGGATCGCGGGTATGTTTGGACACGCTGCTGTTTGTGGTCCACATTTCATGATGAGTCCGTCTGGGGGTCGTAAGGGACAGTTGCAAGCTGCACTGGGTAGAGTTCCGCAGCCGCACCGCTAGCCAGACGCTGCTGTTGCCCAGGCAGAGGCCCGCCTCCCTGTGCCACTGCGCCTTCTCCTTTTACACCTTTGGAAGTTCACTTTGTTGGTGTTGCTTGTTTTTCCTCACCAGTTGCTTCTGCTTCCATTTCTGCTGGTGCCTGCAGGCACTCATGCCCACCTCTGGCTCTTGCTCTTTTTGTACAGAGGGAGAACCGAAGATTACAGGAGGCCAGCATGAGGTTGGAGCAGGAGAATGATGACCTCGCCCATGAACTGGTAACCAGCAAAATCGCTCTGCGGAATGACTTAGATCAGGTAAATCTGTCACTCATGAGGTAGACATGAGACTAACTTCCTCAAGGGGGAGGACCAGGTAGTTCTCACTACATTCCTAGGCTCGCTGTCCTTGAGTGTGCTGCCTGGTATAGATGGATGGTGGCTGGCAGTGGGGAGGGCAGCTCGTGCTAACTGGAGAGAGCGGAAACCCCACACCTTTGAGAATGGGTGGCTCATTTCCAAAAGGCATGTGTGACGCTGATTTTTATACCTCTAAATTTCTCTTAGCATCTCTTCTCTTTATCAGTATTTTTTTAAACCAAAAGCTGCCCTCATAATTACCAAAGAGTATCAGAGTATACTGTTGCCACCCTGACATCGTAGGCACCTTGCTGCTTGTTCCAATAATAAATGTGAAGTTTTACATGAAGTGCAAGCATTAAATGTTGGATTGTCGAATTGGCAGGCATCTTAGTGGCTGAGAGCCAGAGAGCCTGCACGTGAACCTCTTGGCACCCCCGACTTGCCAACCATGTGACCCTGGGCAGTCCTTTAGCTGCCCGTAGTTGCAAAAGTGTCTACCCTGGAGGGAAGATGTGAGAGTTAAGCTAAAGCACTTATAGTATGTGTTCAACAAACCTTCGCTGTTGCTAAGAGATCTCTAATGCTATAACTTTCCTTGTTCATTCCCAAAATGTTGACAGTCTTAGAACTTCCTGTTGCTACTGCTACCATTTCCTGAGATGATTGGCAAGGTGGAAGCAGTCTTGTGCAGACTTAAAATTTTTACTTTTTTTACTTCTAAAAAATAAATATTGCCAATGGTGCAGGGTTAGAAAAATTGAGACTTAGACTGTTGAAGGAAAGAAAAAGTCATTGTCTGTGCTTTAACTTTGCATTGACAGTATTTAAAACACAAGTCCACTGATAACATAATCTGCTTATGTGTTCATAATTGAAGCATGTGGTATTGCTCACTGGTAGAGCTCTTGTGCTCAAAGCACTAGGTTTGATCCCCAGCACTGCAAAAATAAATGAATAAAAATAAAGTTGGTAGAAGTAGTTTCTGTCATATCTTTTCCTCATATAAACAGCTAATTTTTTAGCTCAAAAGCTTTAACCATAGTAAGGTGGGAGATAAACATAAATATTGAGGAAATGGTGCTAATAAGGAAGGAAGGAAGCTGCAGGGGGCGGGTCAGCACTAAAGGAAGTTTGATTTCTATTTTTCTGTGCTGGGGATTAAACACAGGGCTTCATGCATGCTGAGCAAGCACTGTACCACTGAGCTACACCTTCAGCCTCCAGGTATAGTTGGTACAAAGCAGAACAACTATGCTGTTTGGGACATAGAAATAGAACAGTAGTCTATTTGAAAAATATTTGTCCTTTTAATCACAAATTCCATGTGGAAGTTGATTGAAATGAGATGAGGGAAGTGTGACCAAGACACAGCACCAAGGCAAGGGTCCTAGCAGAACCAGCCTCAGCCTGACCACATACTGCATCGCTAGTCTGGGCTCTATATTAGCTTCCCAAACAGTGTGGTTCACCCCCAATTCTGATAATGTTCTTAAGATGGCTAACTGAAAAAAAAAATGTAAGGAGTTGAACTCAGAGAGGCGCATGAAGTGAAAAGAGCTTGAAAGTTGTTTGAGAAATGTGTTTGGTGGTACCTGTTAAGTCTTGTATAAGATGTAAGCAAATAATAAAATTAATTTTTTAGATTTATTTTTTTCTCTCTCCATATTTATTATTGGCTCATTACAGTTGCACATAGTGGTGGGATTCATTGTTACATATTCATTCATGCACACAGTGTGTAAAGTACAGTTTGGCCAATATTGCTCCCAGCACTTGCCCCTCCTTCCTTCACCTCTTACCTGGTCCCTTTCCTGTACTGATCTCCCTTTTATTTTCATGAGATCCACCCCTACCTTTCTTTTCTTTTCTCTCTCTAGCTTCCATGTATGGAGAAAACATGAGACTCTTGACCTTCTGAGTTTGGCTTATTTCACTTAACATAGTGGTCTCTAATTCTATCCACTTCCCTGAAAATGCATAATTTCATTTTTTTTATTGTGTGTGTGTATCATATTTTCTTTATTGGTGGACACCTCAACTTTTTCCATAATTTGGCTATTGTGAATTATGCTGCTATAAACACAGGTATGCATTTATTGCTATAGTAAGATGCCTTTAATTCTTCGGGATAAGTATCAAGGAGTGGCACATCTGGGTCATATGGTGGTTCCATGCCTAGTCTTTTGAGAAGCCTCCACATTGATTTTCATAATGGTTGTACTAATTTACTGTCCCACCAACAATGTGAAAGTATTACTTTTTCTCCATATTCTCTCTATCATTTATTATTATTTGTATTCTTGATGAACATTATTCTGACTCATGTGAGATGAAATCTCTGTGTAGTTTGGATTGGCATTTCCTTAATGCTAACAGTGTTGAACATTTTTTCATATAGTAATTGGCCATTTGTATTTCTTCTTTTGAGAAGTGTCTGTTCAATTCATTTGCCCATTTATTAATTAGGTTATTTGATTTTGGAGTGTAAAGTTGTCTGAGTTCTTTATAATTTCTAGATATTAATCCAGGAGCTAGCAAAGATTCTCTCCCATTCTGTAGGTTCTCTCTTCATTTTCCTAATGATTTCCATTGCTGTGCAGAAGCTTTTTAATTTGATGCCATCCTAGTCTTGGCCTTATTTCCTGATCTATAGGGGTCCTATTGAGAAAGGTGTAGCCTCTGCCTATATGTTGGAGTGTTGACCCATGTTTTCTTCTAGGATTTACAGAGTTTCTGGTCTAATTCCTAGATCTTTGATACACTTTGAGATGAGTTTTATGATAGGGTAAAAATTAAAGATCTAGTCTCATTCTTCTACATATGAATAATCAGTTTTCCCAGCACCATTTGCTAAAAGGGCTGTCTTGAGCCAGGCCCGGTAGTGCACATGTGTAATCCAGCAGCTTGGGAGGCTGAGGCAGGAGGATGGAGAGTTCAAAGCCAGCCTTAGCAATTTAGTGAGGCCATAAGCAACTCGGTGAGATGCTGTCTCTAAATAAAATATTTAAAAAGAGCTGGGGATGTGGCTCAGTGGTTAAGTGCCCCTGAGTTTAATCCCTGGTATCCCCCTCCTCTCCCAAGTGCATGGCTTTTGGTACCTTTGTCAAGGAACAGATGACTGTTCCTTGTAGATGTGTGGGCTTTTTTCTGTGTCTTCTCTTCTGTACCATTGTATATGTGTCTGTTTTTATGCTAGTACCATGCAGTTTTGTGACTATTGCTCTGTAGTATAATTTCAAGTCGGGTATTATGATGCCTCCAGCGTTGCTTCTTTTGTCTTAGAATTGCTTTGACTATTCTCAGTCATTTTTTCTTACGAATTTAGGACTGTTTTGTTGTTGTTGTTGTTCTGTGAAGAAGGTAATTGGTATTTTCATGAGGATTGCATTGAATCTGTGTATTGATTTTGGTAGTATGGACATTTTAATAATATTAATTCTGCCTGTCCATGAACATGGAAGGTCTTTTCATCTTCTGAGGTCTTCTTCAATTTCTTTCTTCAAAGTTCTATAGTTTTAATTGTGGAGTTCTTTCACCTTCTTGTTAGATTTATTCCTAGGTATTTTTTTTTTTTTTTGAGGCTATTGTGAATGGAATTGCTTTCCTGATTTATTTCTCAGCAGATTCATTGTTGGTTCATGGAAAAACCATGGATTTTTAAATGTTGATTTTCATAACCTCCTATTTTGCTGAATTTGTTTATTAGCTCTAGGTTTTTTTGTGTCTTCTAAGAATAGGATCATATTATCTGCAAACAGTGATAATTTGACTTCTTCCTTTCCTATTTTTATCCCTTTTATAAAATTGATTTTGTACTGAGTACCTAGTATGTACTAACCACTATATGTAGCGATTTATAAGCATTATCTCATTTACTCTTTTTAATGAGCCCATGAAGCAAGTATTTTAGGTCCACTATTTAAAAATGAGGAAATTGATCTAATTATACTCGAACTTGGAAAGCTATGCTAAAAAGTAGAGATTTAGTAAAAAACTGCATTGATTGTTGTTTACTGCAGTGTAACTTAGAAGAATAAAAAGTAGAAATAAAATGCATGTTCAGTATTGGGGGAGAACGATAGTATATCTGTATCTTTTTGGAATAATTTTTTAACCAAAGGGATCGGAAAAACACTGTGCAATGGGATATAGGTGTTATGTAGGAAAATAATATACATAGCTTTAATCATCAGATAAATGTTATTTTAAAAGTCAGTTCACCTCCAAGAGAATCCTTTTTGTGGGTCAGTCTGAAATGGCTGCTATTATGGACACTCCTGACATAATCGAATACTTGGCTGCCTCGTGTGGGCACCACATCTATCCCTAAAGGAAGGACTCCAGCATTCCTTCCTCTTCTCCCTTTTTTCTTCTCTCTTGACTCCCTCTTTCAGAAAAGTAGTAATATCTGGATCCTGCCTTTTGAAGCCAATTATCTAAATGAAAGATAAAACTGCTCTTTTATGCTTATCTCCTCCTAACCTCTGAATTTGCAGTTTCTGCCCCAGCAGAGGTTTATGTGCCTATCCAACAGCCATCCCTACAATTCAGGTGTCCTGCCCTTGGTCCTCACAGAAGGGCACCATCACCTGAGAATGACACCAGGCCTCACCTCCTTCCCCCTTCTTTGGAGTCCCAACTTACTAAAATCACTTCTCTCAACCCAAACAGCAAAACTTGGTAGTAGACATGAAAGCAGATTGTACCTGAGACAATATGGGAAATAAACACACACTCCTAGGTTATTAGGTACTTTCTCTAAACCAAGCATTCTTCACCCTTATTGTTGTAGTCATGGCTTTACCCTCCAGGGCACCAGGCACCAAAGGCTGGTCAGTTTTCCTTTGACAGGAAGATCTCTCTCCGACTCCTTAAATAAGAATTTCTGAGATTAGTAATGAAAAAGACATCTCCATTTCAATTTCTGATGCTACCTGCTCTCAGGCCCTCCCTGCCCTTCCCTGTTCTCAGGGAACAAAAAGGAAAGAGAGAATTGGTACCTTCGCACTGAAGACTGAGCTCTTTCTAACTGGAGTTCTTAGACCAGAAGCTGTAGGTGATAAGTACTTGTTTTCTCTTAAATGGAACAACTGCCTGGCTGATTTCCGAAAGCTCCTCATCCCTGATTTTGACCAAGGCTTTCCTCAATAGGGCAGTGGGTTCACAACCTCGCCACACAGGGCAGAGCTTGTTTTGCGTGTAGGTTGATGTCACAGGAGCCTTGGTTGCAGTCTGAGCTCTCAGCATCAGTAAGACATCTTAAGACATACACATGTGATTAGAAGACTTAAAAATGATGGAGTTCCACTCAGTCCCACTGTCAAATTATAAGGAACGTTTTATAATTTGGGTTCAAAAGTAGAATTTACATAACTATCTGTTTAGTATTATTTTCACTTGACATGAGAGATACCTTGAGGTGGAGCAGCTGGATGTTTAAAGATCCAGAAGCCTGCTTTTAGAGGAAACTTAGGTTATTTCAGATCTGATCCTATTTTGATGAGCACAGTTGTTGTTTATTATTCAGCACTAAGGAGAAGCTTTGGCTGCGGCTTCCTAGGAAACCGTGAGACTCCTCTTCACTTAGCACCCATGACTGTTGCTACAGTCAGAGTAGGGAGGCCTGAGCTACACCTAATGGGGACTGTTCAACAGAAAATGTGTAAATAAAACTAATAGGGCTTCAACATCAGTGTTCAAGTGTTTCTAAAAAGAGTTCCTCAGGGAAGTGTTTTTCCCCTTTTCTTATAGAGGTTTCCAAAACTAAAACAGCTGGATATACTGCAGGATTCAAGAAGCGTGCTACTGAAGTCAAGGTGGCATTGCCTACTCCTGCTGTGGTAGACCTTGAACCAGCGGGCTGGGGTTAGAGGGCGATAGAGTCTTTTCCACCTTCACTACCCAATAGTTCCAAATGCTCTGGAAGCAAGAGTTATTACCACTGAGCCAGGAGGCTCTGGACCTAGGTGGCAGCAAGCACAGAGAAGCAGGGCTGCGCTCTCTGCCAGTATCCAGCAGACTGTGCTGGCCTGGCCATCTGGGCGTGGGGGAGATATGGCAAACAAAGTCAGAAGCCACCTGGCCAGTTTGCATGATTCTTGGACAACCTTTGGCTGCTGTCAGCCAGGGATGGCTTCTTCACATAGCTGCCTCTCCTCTGCCTCGGGAGTCTTTCTGCCAGACTCATCCTGTGGCCCACTGCCCACAGGCTGCTTCTGCAGGGACTTAGGGAACATTCATTTATTCACTGAGGACTTGGGGGAAAACCTGCCCCTGTCCCCATGTGGGTGTGGTGCTGGGGAAATAGTGAAGAGCAGAGGAGACATGGTTCCTCCTGGAGTTAGAGTGCAGTGGGCAAGATGCGCATCGCACATGGAGCTGTCCTAACATGCTATCAGGGAGACTGGAGAGGTGTGGACAGGGGGCCGGTCCAGATGGCATTGAATAGGGTGGGTCTCAGGTCACATTTCAGTGCTGTGCAAATGTGTGGCTGGAACCTGAGGATGAGGTCGGGGGTCCTGGCGTATAAATAAGACAGTGTCCCCTCAGTTACACACACACCCCAGAGGGCTCTGTGACCCAGGTAGAACCAGCCTGCTCTCACCAGGCACGTCCTGGCACCCTGGAAACAGCCTGGAGTCTGGTTTCTGCTTTGGTTTCCCACTCGACTCTCTCTATCTTGGGTTTTGGTTTTAATTTCTCCCTGCTATACTGACTGACCAGTCTGAGCGGCTTGTGGGCCAGTTAACCTCAAGCCTGGCCTTGATTGCTGTCTGTGGACCCGCCTGTCCACTTGCCTTTTCTGAATCCTCCCCATGCACTGCCATTTGGAAGCACCACGAATGCTGTCATGACATCTGAGAATGAGGGAGAAGGGTGTGGAAAGAGAATGTCATTCAAATCTGAATTCAGATCATAACTGTCATTTTAGATGTGTGACCCCAGACAATGTATTTGGTCTAGCCAAATCTCACTGTCATTAGCTGTAAAGGTGTTGTTGTGAGAATTAGGAATAATGTGTACCAAGTACCTGGCACGTAGATGGTCAGAGAAAGCAGCCCCCGCCACAACCCTGCAGTGAGCTGGGAAGAGAGGAAGGACTTGAGGTAGCTGTAGAGAAATACCTGGGGACAGGGTGTGGAGAAGGTATGTGTGCGTATATTCGCCTTCTTTATGGCTGTGATGTGCCCTGACTTGCAGGCAGAGGACAAGGCAGATGTGTTGAATAAGGAGCTCCTCTTGACCAAGCAGAAGCTGGTGGAGACTGAGGAGGAGAAGAGGAAGCAGGAGGAAGAGACTGCCCAGGTAAAGGTGTTCACAGGCTTTTCTGCACACGGTAGATTGGCAGGGAGTTACGAATATTGTAAAAAAAAAAAAAAAAAGTGACATTTATTCTAAGTCGGGGTGAAGTTGAAGTGTGCTGAGGGTATTGGAAGAGGAGGCAGCATTTCTGCTCTCAATAGCTTTCAGGAATGTGCCTTTACTGAGACATCTCGAAGGAGTGTTGAGTTTAGTAACTTGCAGCTATGATCCAAGAGCTCTGACAGTGGGGAAGTTTCATGTCCTGCCTCCAAAATAATCAACTCTTGGGAAGCACTTTATGGCATTGTCACACCGAAAGCCACTGTGGCCTCTGCTGGGACTGCTACAGACCTCTACCTCAGTCCCCCTAACTCCTCTGACTCATGCCTTAGAAAAGGGAGCCTCAACATTCCCAGCAGAGCTCTGGGTCCTAACCGCTGGGGGAACGTAAAAGCCCTCTGGGAGCCGGCGTTGAAGCTGGTGCCCTGTGCTGTTTGTGGGAGCCAGGAGCAGGTGAGTGGCGGTCTCCATGTGGAGGAGGAGTGCAGGCCCAGGTGAGGGTGAGGGACCTCTGCTTGGAGCTGGAGCTTCCTGCTTCCCTAGGCCCAGAGGCCGCCCACCATTGCCTCCCCCGTGGGCCCAGCCAGCGGCGGAGGACTAGATTACCTGGTAGAGTGTCTTCACAAATGACTGAAGTCCACCGCCCAGAGCTTGCTTGATGTAACTACCTTATATAGCGAGGAAATTTCTTAAATCATGATTAGTGAATTTCATTCTAAGGTATTAATAGTTAGTGCTAAACATAAAACAGAATAGAAATCCTTTGAAAGACTTTTATCCAGAAAAAAGTTACACATAGAGAGATGTGCCATTTCGCACCTTCCAGGATTTATAAAACATATTCTGTGACGTTTTTTCCCCTGCTGGAATATGTTAAAATGAGTCTTTGGCATTTAGTGTGGTCCAAGTTTTTTCTTTTTTAAAAAACTTCCTCAAAAAACTTTGAGGGCTGATAGATTCTCCAGGCCTCCTGATGTGTTTTGTTTTCTTCTCTACCTCTGGCTTTCTTTGACCCCTTTAGTACTTTCAGGGAAGAAGACACTATTGGCAAATGAATTAACCCACACTCTGCCTGCCCCGTGGCTCTGCGACACACACCAGCCCAGCGGAGGGGCAAGAGCCTACGTGTGGCCAGAGCAAAGCCAGATGCTTCATGGTGTCTTCCCTTCACCCTGTCTTGTTTATTGTGATGATGGTACTTATACCGTGTACCTTACTCTTATTTGTCACCCGAGGAAGCTACGGCTTAGAAAAACTTGCTCCAAGCCTCTGAGCTGCCTGAGTCATCTAAAGTCAGTGTGGCCTTATTATAGGAAGGGGAGGTTATTGTTTATGTCCAACGTTATGTAAAATAGAGAATAGAGACTTCTATAAACAGCTGCATTTGAAGCAGTATAACTTACAAGTTGTTTTTAGGATTTTAGAATGTAACAAATATGAAGAAATTCAGAAATCTTCTAATGATAGAATCCAATTGTAAATTATTAATTTATGAATTAGCAAGTGTAGAATATTCCCTATGAATACTTTGGGGGCTGGGCATGGTGGCACATACCTATAATCCCAGGTGCTTGGGGGACTGAGGCAGGAGGATGCAAGTATGTGGCCAGTCCAGGCAACTTAGTGAGACCCTGTCTCAAAATAAAAAATAAAAAAGATCTGTGGCTGTGACTCATAGGTGAAAGGCTTGCCCTGCAGCAAGCATGAAACCGTGGGCTCAGTCCCCAGTGCCAGGAAAATAAAATGGGATTCTTCTCTCCAGGGTTCGTCCCTTTATTCTGATTATGTACTTAGGACCAACCAGAGTTGTTTTTTGTTGTTTATTTGGCCAACTTGTCAGAATTGAATTCTTTCTTTTTTATCTGGTGGCACCTGAATTTTTTCATCACTCAGTCTTCCTCTGTACCAGAATTCTACAGCCTCTGGGCTATCAAAATACTGTAGTTGTAGCCGGACACAGTGGTGTACACCTGCAATCCCAGCAATATGGGAGGCTGAGGCAGGAGGATCTCAAGTTCAAGGACAAACTTAGCAACTTAGTGAGTCACTCTCAAAAAAGGGCGGGTTTAGCTCAGTGGTTAAGTGCCCTGGGTTCCATCCCCAAAGCCAAAAACAAAAGCAAAAAAAAATAAATAAAACAAAACAAAAACTGTGGTTTTGAGTATGACATTGGTCATTTAGCTCTTCAGCGACCTTAGTCAGCACCTGCGGGTTGTATAGCTTGTGCTCCTCCTGAACTCATGACCAGAATCCCCTGTCCCTCCCTAGAGTCTCATCTCATCTCTTCCCGACTCCAGAACCTCTTGACCCTGCTTTCGGAGAGGGAGCAATGACGGAGGGGACTGTTAACACAAGGCCCAAAGTTTTTCTCCTTAATTTATAACATAGTATCAATAGTGAAAAATTTAGCCTGCAATGTTGCCTGGATATATTTTAGTTTACACTTAAAATGAAGACGGTGTCTAAGTGGACACTTAGAGGCAATATGCTTACCAGGCAGGCAGTGAGCATAAGCAGCTTTATAACAGCATGGCTCATATGTCTTGTCTTTACAGAAAAGAAAGATCTCTGTATCTCTGGAGATGCTTGGGTTTTCAGATTATTATTTTTTTTTAAAGAGAGAGTGAGAGAGGGGAGAGAGAGAATTTTTTAATATTTATTTATTTTTTTAGCTTTTGGCGGACACAACATCTTTGTTTGTATGTGGTGCTGAGGATCGAACCCGGGCCGCACGCATGCCAGGCGAGCGCGCTACCACTTGAGCCATATCCCCAGCCCGGGTTTTCAGATTATTGAGATGCAGCTTCAGTGAGGAAAATGTGCATAGCCGTGATTGTTACCATTGTCTCTGACCGTGAACCAAGAAGACATGAATGTAGGTGTCTTAAGAAATTTATTAAGATTTTTGCTGAATCCTGCTATTTCTCCTTCCTTTCTAGCTAAAAGAAGTATTCAGGAAACAACTAGAGAAGGCAGAGTATGAGATAAAGAAGACCACAGCCATCATTGCTGAGTATAAACAGGTATTGTGCCACTGTGGATTTTGTTGTTGTAAAAGTGATTGCCTTTTACTTTTGTGTTTTGTTTGTTTTTAGAGTTTCCAGAACAGTTTTCCAATTTATTAAATCTGTGCCTCACGCTCTCCTAAAACAGGCAGTGGTTGGACCTATTGGCTGGTAACATGGGAGGTTTAATTGACAAACAAACCACTGGTTGTTTAACACTGTTTGGAACCATAATTGCCGTTGGGATCCAGCTTCTGCCTTACTGAGAAGCTAATTGACAATAGATCTCACTGGGGACATTTGCCACTTTGCAAAGTTTAGTGATTGTATCAAATGGCAATAGCTAGGGGATCAGTGTATCCTTTGCAATCAAAGAACCGAATGAGGCCCTTTTTTTTTTTTTTGGCACTGTGGCTACGTGGCCTGACCCAGTGCAGGCCCCCACTAGTGGGAGGCTTTCTACTATGCACCTTAAAATTCTCTTTTTAACAGAGAGCTTGCTCTCCTTGAAAATCTCTCTCTCCTGTCACCAGGGTAGCCCCAGAACGCTTCTCATTCTACTCCAGGTACATCTTGCTGTTTCTCCTTTTGGCTGGACATGGCAAGGGCCCTCTCAGTTCTGAGAAACCTGAGTTGGCTCCTCACATTCCAGGTTTCCAGAATTAATTAAATTTACCATGCGCTGCCTTCAGATCCAAGGGTTTCCCTGAGATCATCTGTCTCACAAAGGATGTTGAAATCTAATGCATACTGTTTTAGTTTGGTTTTGATGGGTTTTTTTAAATTTTTTATACCAGGGATTGAACTCAGGGACACTTGACCACTGAGCCACATCCCTATCCCTATTTTGTATTTTCATTAGAGACAGGGTCTCACTGAGTTGCTTAGCACTTTGCCTTTGCTGAGGCTGCCTTTGAACTCGCGATTCTCCTGTCTCAGCCTCCTGAGCTACTGGGATTACAGGCATGTGCCACCATGCCTGGCTTGTTGTTTTTGTTTTTGTCTATAAGTGAAATTTATGTTTTTGTAGAAAGTTGGGGAAATGCAATAAAGCACAAAGAAAACAAACCTCCCTCAATCTTGCCACCTACAAATCTCTATAATGTTCAGTATGTAGCATTGCTATATAAATAAATTGCTACATAAAAAATTTATAATGTATATAAACAGGATGGCTGTACTGTTTATTCTGTTTTTTGGAAGTAGCTTTGGTTTGCTTCATATATCATGAACTTCTTTTCATAAGGTTTCCTCATATGCATGAAACATTTCTTAGAAATAAGATTTCAGAGCATTCTTACTCTCCTTTATAATAATGTGCTTATTTAATGCTTGCTACTTGTGAGGTTTAATAATTCAGGGGTCCCAAGATGAATTAATCTAATCTCTCTCCTAGAAGCTTATTTTGTCATAGGGAGGTCAGACCTAAGCAAGAATAAGAGGAAAGGAACTTTCTCCCTGTGGGCAATGAGGAGGCCCTTCCAGAGCTGGGATTGCTTGAGTGGCTTCAAGGCTGCGTGAGAGTTGGATATGTGGAAACAGTGGAGGATGGGGTGCAAATGGTGGGAAGAGGGAAATGGAAGGCACAGAGATAGGCTAGTGAACACAGAAAACGTTTTATGTGGTAAGAGATTCAAGTACAGAAGAGAAGCATCACTTTGCTGGGGCCCAGAACCAGGACGGTCTTCAGGTTGGGCATAGCTGTCTAGTTTTTGTTGTTGTTGTAGTAGGAATTTTTAAGCAGGAAAATGGCATGCTCAGGGATACGTATTGGCACTACTCTGACCCAGTGAGGAATGTGGAACCAAAGGGAGAGATCTACAGGCAAGGACACAGACCATGAGAGGCTAATGTCACAAAGTGAGAAGAAATAGGGAGAAATAGGAAAAATTGGGCCCTGAACTAAAATAAGCAATACTGAAAACAGAAGAGGGAGATGTCAAATATAGCCCCCCGCCCTTTTTTTCTGCTAGACAAGGGAAAACCTGGAAGGCATCCAGGCACTTTGACTTTGGGTAACTAAGACATGGTGGTTAGATATGAACTAATGCAAGGAGCATTTAAGACCATGGCTGCAAAACTCGCCATCACTGCAAATGCATTACCTCATGGCCATGTGACACCACAGGTGGCCACAGCCTACCACACTCTTCAAACAGTAATCCTTGGCCCTGGACTTTACATTCCCTGGTAAGAATCCATAATATAAAAGCCAACAGACCCATCTCCTCAAAGACGATTAGGATATAAAACATAATGAATGCATTCTGTAGTGGGAACTGGCTGTTACTAATTCTATTTCTGAATGCTTTGGTTTACATAGAAGGGGAGATGGTTTGCACAAATGAGCAGGGAAATCCCTTCTTTATCTGTGTGCATGTGCTGCTGGGGATTAAACCAGGGCCTGGCATATGCTAGGCAAGTGCTCTGCTACTGAGCTGTATCCCCAGCCCTTTTTATCTTTTGTTTTGAGACAGGGTCTCACCAAGTTGCCCATGCTGGCCTCCAGCTTTCAATTCTCCTGCCTTAGCCTACCCAGTTGCTGGTATTACAGGTGTGTGCCACTGTGCCCAGCAGACCCTTCTTTTTAACATCAGTTTAAATACAGTCTATGAATTATTTGCCAGGTTTAGATCTGGAGAAATTGGAAGCTTAACAACAAGCAAGACTTGGCCTTGAGCTATTTTTTAGTAATGAGATTTTTTTTAATGTCTTTTGATGAGAAATAGACATGTTTCTATTCTAATTTCTTCTTTAAAATTTGACATCCCCTGTTTCTCATCCATTTTTCTATTTTATTGTTTGCTTTTTATTTTTTTAATTTATTTTTATCCATTTTTAAAAGATTTTTATTTTAGTCAATGAGTGGATGCATTTTTTAAGCAGAAATTTTCTCCTTTGAAAGCACTTATTTCTACTTGTTCTTGGTACTTATCAGCACCTTATTTCAGAATTAATAATAATAATGGGTTTTACTCCATAGGTGCTTTGTATTGGTCAGATGCCATGTAGTACTGAGCCCTTCACATGCATCTTTCTCACTTGTTATTACAGCACAGTACTGTGCAGTCACAAGGGAACTAAGTCTTAGAAAGATGAATGAGTTTGCCAAGGAGTATATAGATATAAGTAGTAGAGCTGGATGGGCTTTAAACTCACAGTTCGACTCCAGTGTTGAAGCTTTTCATTTTATTTGGAGACAGGGTCTCACTAAGTTGCTTAGTGCCTTGCTAAAGCCAAGGCTCCCGAATCACTGGGATTATAGTCATGGACCACCGCACTGGCTCTGAAGCTTTTAATTTCTGTGCTGTTTCCCAAACTCTTGATCAGAGTTTTATTTTAATCAGTTTCATTTTCTAATAATTTTAACTTTTATTCACTCTGCTGCTACTTAAGGAAACTAGTGATTGGAAAGAGACTTTTTCTGTGGCTGGATGGGAGCTGTAGGAGCTGTTTCTGGTTCAAAATTCTTTTCATCAATTTGTACAAAGTAGATACTCAGCAAGGCCAAAAATTCATTGGAACTCATCACAGAAAGCTAGTGATAGCAAGAAACCCAATCTACGCCAGTGTCTTGTTTCTGTGGATGAAGACAGAGTCTCCGCAGGAGGTGCCCAGGCTTCTGTTGCTTGTTTCAAAAATGACCAGCATTTGCAGGGCTGCTCATTTGCAAGATTTCTTCTAGGAGCAGATCTGCTCAAGGCCTTTATGGGTTGCTAAGCAGATGTGTGCATGTGGTCACTGCAGGCATATCTAGTAAAGAGCCTCTTTTATTTGCCTTAGATCTGTTCCCAGTTAAGTACCCGGCTGGAGAAACAGCAAGCAGCCAGCAAGGAGGAGCTGGAAGCTGTGAAGGTAAGCAGGGAGCCAGTTCCGGGACCATCTCTGCTCCCCACCTGGTCTTGCACGTACCTGAAAGTCTGCCTTCCCCATTTGGTATTAAAGGATTTCAACATGTGGAGAGTAGTGTATCTCTCTTTGACCTGGGGTACAGCTGTCTTCTTGACCAGGTGACAGGTGATGCTCCATAAATCTTACAGGAAGGCAGAAGCTGGTACCAGGAAGGGAAATATGGTTTGACCACTGTCACTAGAGGCCCCTGAGCCGTGTGGCTTTGGTATAAGGTGGGGCCTGGGAGTCCTCAGCAGCCCACCTGTGTCTGAATGGTGCAGCTTCAGTTTGGGACTCAGTAGGATCATCCTGTCACTCTCTTGAACAGTGAGCACTGTGACACTATAGAATTCGGCTGGAAAACATGTTCATAACTGACTCATTCTTCAACCAAAAAAAAAATTTTTTTTTTTTTTTTGGTGTAGATGGACACAACACAATGCCTTTATATTTATGTGGTGCTGAGGATCGAACTCAAGTCCCACCCGTGCTAGGAGAGCGCTCTACCGCTGAGCCACAATCCCAGCCCCTCAACCAAATTTTTAGTGGTTTGTTTAAAAAAAAAAACAGTAGCATTTATTTTTATGTTGCCCCCTGGTGGAAGAACTCATGTTACGGCTCTCTTTGAAAAAAAGTGATTGCTTATTCTTCAGAAAATGGACTTACTGCTGATCATACCAGGACTGTAATTTGCCTTGCTAGGCAAGCGTTGTACCACTGAACAATATGCCCAGCCCCTTTTTATTTTTTGTTTTGAGACAGGATCTCACTAAATTGCTGAGGTTGGCCTTGAACTTAAAATCCTCCTCCCTCAGCTGCCCAAGTAGCTAAGATTACAGGCGAGTGCTACCCGCCCTCCCCACTGTCCCAGAAATCTGACATGCTCCTATTTGAATATATTCAAGTCATACTAGCAAATGTGTTCTTGGCAATTTAGCATATAGTTTAACAACTTTGAAAAGTTATTTGCCTTTCTAATCTTCATTTTGTCTTCTGTAAAATAGAGATAACATTGCCGACCTCATAAGACCATTTTGAAGATTGAATTAGATAATGTATACAAAGTGCTTAGATTCCTACTTGGCTACGATAATTTTTTTTTGGGGGGGGGGGAGAGAATTTTTAAATATTTATTTTTACTTTTCGGTGGACACAACATCGGTATTTTATTTTTATGTGGTGTTGAGGATCGAACCCAGCGCCCCGAGCATGCCAGGCGAGCACGTTACCATTGAGCCACATCCCCAGCCCCACAATAATATTTTTAAGTTAAAATTTGGAAAGCCTCATTCTGATATTTTCAGAAACTTTTTTCTCTTATTTTATGTTACAAAATATCCATCTGAGATTGTTGGTAAGTAAAGGGTTGGTGGTCTCTCTCTCCAAACCTGTTAAAATTTGGGAGTCATATCTTCCCTTTCTGGTCTTTTTTTATTCCTTCTACTTAGTATTTATTGTTATTTGTTATAGGCCTACTGACAGATTGTTGATAAAGTGTCTTGCCATAAAAGGGCCAGCTATCTTGAACTTCAGTCCTTATGGAAATAAAAATGAAACAAGGATTTACACTGGTCACTCAGTAAAGATTGTATTGAGCATCTCTCTGTGCACAGGTATTAGGCCACCATTTCGTTACAGAAATTACACAGAAACAGGAGCATAGAATTTTCCTGTAAGACAAGTTATATACTTACACACATGGAATGTTTGGAAAACAGGTCAAGTGTGCTGAGTTGGATTACACCAACGATCGGAATTGTGGGGAAAGCAGATGCATAAGAACTGCAGACCAAAGGAAGCTTTATGGAGAAGGGTGGATTTAAACAGGGTGGTTAGAATTCAGTTGGAGAGAGGTTCAGAAACGTGAGGGAAAACTCAAGAGTGTTTTAATGTCTTATTAAGGAAACTGATTATGAAGCAACAGAGAACAATTTTGGATAAGTAGGTAAGACTACCTAATGAAAGCATGATGTTCCAGGAGAGGAAGGTGAACCTGAGTTAGCCATAATAAAGAACAACCTCATTGGTCCTTACTGTGCACACTGTTCTGATACTTTCTGTGTATTATCCACTTAGCCCCATAACTACCCTAGAAAATAGGCACAATTTGTTTTTACTAATGATGAGGCCCCAAACAAGTGATTCTGTTTGATTGAGATTATACTGCTGGTATGTGGTACCAGGACTTGAACCCAGGGCATCAGACTCAAACCCACATTCTTAGACTGTTCTACCTCCCCTTTCTCTAGGGTGCTTCTTCTTCACCTCATTTGGCATGATGTGTTAGCGTCTGGTTTGTCCGGCTTCCTATAACAGCCCTCTTGATCACTACCACCACTCCAGTTCATCCTTTCCACTGTAATCAGAGTGAGCACGCCCAAGTATAAGTTTGGCCATATCACGATGCGTGTCAGTTCTGGACCACAGACAGGCCCCCGACATTGGCTTACACACAAAAGGTAGTGATTATGTTAAGTAAAAGTGGTCAAGGACTAGAAAGGTGGATCCTTGGTGGTCATTAGTGACCACATCCTCTACGTGGGCACCCACCCTCAGATCACCTACAAGCCACACCTGTCAACTGGAGCTTCTGCTTCACATTCACACCCCATAGCAGAATTTGATTCTACAAGGATATAAGGGCCTTGCTGCAGTGGGGGTGTGCTCTCTGAGCAGCCTTCTCAGAAGTTCCATGTCACACTTCTGTTTGAGAATCAGAACTTAGTTTCCAGTCACACCTAGCTTCAAGGGAATTTGAGAAATGCCACCATTTATCAGGACCCATTGCCAGCTCAAATAAAATCAGGGTTCTATTCCTGAGGAAGAAGGACAGATGGGTGGCCCGTGGGACTCAGCACTATCCACCGCAATGGACCCCAGCTCCAGGGAGCTTGTTGCTGCTCAGCATGTGGCAAAGGGCATGGTGCAGCCAAGAGACACATTTCCTCTGGGTAAAATCAGGACCTTTACAACCTGGCCACAGAGAATGCTCACCTACGTCTTACCTCTCACCGTTACACTCAGCTTTGGCCCTTGCACATTCCTGGACATTCCGTCAGGATGTTGCAGCTTTGCATGTGGTGTTTTCTCTACAAAAATGTTGTCCTCCCTTTTGTGACACCAGTCTATTCCTTCATTTGGTTCAATCCAGTACAACTGCTTACCTGGATTGGAAAACTTAAATCAATGAGCTTGTCGTAACAGTAGGACATAAAAATAGAAATAGTATGTAATATCTTTATTTCTGAATTTTATTGAAGTAATTCAGGAAAACACAGCACTGTTAACTTTGGAAAGACTGCTGTCATTCAGTGGAGTGTACTTGATTGGCAACTTAGGCATATAGTAGAGTTATTTTTATCAACTTAAACAATGATGGTCATCTTTGCTTAAAGCCAAACAGTAGGACATTTACTTTATTGTGAGGGTAGATTTAGGTTAGTTATAATGACCGTCCTGGGCATGCTATACACAAGTTACTTAAATGCTAATGAGTTCTATAGGTATTAAAATGGGGCTGAGAATTGTTCCTCTTCATATAGTTAGTTGCTCTAGAATTAAATTAAATACTACAGGTAGAGTATATGGTATGGGGCTTGGCACTTAATAACAGTAATGGCAGCACAAAATTTCTAGGGCAGATTTTCGAAGACTGTGATACTCCTAGAGTCTTCCTACAGCTATTTAAAGAAAAAGAATGGAAGATGGGGAGGTAGCTCAGTACTAGAGTGCTTGCCTGGTCCACACAGAGTTCAAGTTTTGATCCTCAGAACTGTAAACGGAACACCTGTTTTGAATAGCTGGATTTGGTACTGAGTGTAACCATTTTGGTTGTGGTGTGTGTGTGTGTGTAAATATATGTTATCTGAGATGACAGTGCATCTGCTGGCCATGGGCAGTGACTTTAAGAAATCATATATTATTTCAGGAAGTGATCTGGCTATGAAATACATTTTGATGTTGATTATCACTTTTGGTTATTTCAGGGTAAAATGATGGCATGCAAACACTGCAGTGACATTTTCAGCAAGGAGGGCACTTTGAAACCAGCAGCCATCAGCAGGGAGGATCAAGGAATTGAAGCAGATGACGAGAAGGACTCGCTCAAGAAGCAGCTGAGGGAGATGGAGCTGGAACTGGCACAAACCAAACTGCAGCTGGTAGAGGCTAAGTGCAAAATCCAGGTTGGTTGGTAAAAGATCAGCAGGGAAGAATCACAGGCAGGGGCTCAGGTGCGAAGTCAGAATCACGAGCTGTCACTGGATGCGTTGCAGATGAGTTCTACCCACTGATGTGTCCTACATGATCACATTGTGTGCCATGTATTTTTACACACTGATATAAGCAAACACATAATCTAAAGGAACTTTTTGTAATGAACACAATTTTCCAGTTTATCATTAGATCTCTTGCTCATGTCCTGTCACAATGAATTTGGTCACTTTAGAAGCTGATAGTGAAAATGAAAGCCAAGTCTCTCCGCCAGCCCCTAACATTGGCTCATACCCCTTCTTTTCTTTGGAGCTTCTTTTTATCTTGATTTTGCCATTTTCTCACTCCATGTTAGAAAATAACATGATTAGAAAAAGAGTGTGAGTTCTGATGGACTCTTCCCCATTTCCTTTTTACCAGTGATCCTAAACCCCCTCCCATGCCTATGTGGCACCAATCTGTGTCACATTAGGGTCCTCTGCTAAGGATGTCTCTACTCTGGACCCTGTATGTTCTCAGGGACAAAGGCTATGTCTTTGGAAATGGAACTCATTCTGCTTATGCTAGTAGTATAAATTCTTTCTGTCCTAATGTTCATATTTATTTGTGATTTTAAACATGTTATCTGGGGTTGCATCCTAAACCTAAATTTGGACCTAAGGGCAGAGGGGAAAAGAAAGAATATAACAAGGTTTCTTTTCACAGTTCAGAGAAAGGACAGATTTGATTTTCAGTAGAAACTCTTCTAGCTTGAAACTTTTTCTTTCCATTAAGAAGCTGATTAAATTTTTCCTGGATTTGAGGGAAGAATAGTTTGGCTACATAGACCTGGGGATTACAAAAACAAACAAACAAAAAACAAAACTGCACTCTTCATTTAATACTCAGATGATTTTCTTTCTTTAATTAGGAACTTGAACATCAGAGAGGGGCCCTTATGAATGAAATCCAAGCTGCAAAAAACTCTTGGTTTAGCAAAACCCTGAACTCTATCAAAACGGCCACGAGCACCCAGCCACTGCAGCCGCCTCAGGCCACCCAGCCGCCTAAGGAGAGCACATAGCTCCAGCCTCACCCTAGCACAAGAGCACAACGATCAAAGCAAGGGAAACCCGGGAGCCGTCTTCCTGGTGTCCCTTTGAAGGAAAGTAAAGGAGGCCAGAAAGCAAGCCAGAATCCTTCAGTAGCTCTCATTCTCTCCTGTATGACACTTTTCAAAGGGATGTTATTTAAATTGACCCGATTTATGTTAGATACCTACTGCCCAGCTTCTTCCTGGGAAGCCATGTTCTGATCCATCCTACTATTACACATTATTTTATATGCCTGAAGTTTAGTTGGAAATAAGTGATTCAGAACTAAGTGCTTTTTATTTAGAACTAATTAATTACTCCTAATAATTTTATCCTACAAAAATGGAATCATCTGTCATTCCAAGGTTGACGTGACAGGAAGATCTTTGTCACAGGGAAAAAAATTGAAACCTAAACCTCTTTAGCTTTTCAGGATTTATTCAAATAAAGCACACTGTGGGGCCAGTCATGACCACTGTCAGGTTTCATTCTAAAACCAGGGAGCGATATTCCTGCCCAATGCAAGAACAGACCAGGGGTTGAAAAGTCCCCAAAGGTAATTGGTTTATTTTCATTTTCTTTCATGTTTCATTTTCTGAAGTGCCAAGAACTGTGGAATGGATGGGCTATTGAGAATGCAAACTCAGTGAGTGAACTGAGATTTTGACAAATGTGGAGTAAAATCATTTTGGCTCTGGTGTTCTAGCAGATCCTTTCAAAAATCCACAAGGGACTTGCATGTTCCTAGTGTGGCTAGGTATGAACACAGATGAGACTTCTGGCAAGTGTCCAGTCAAGGGTGGCTATTGTGAGTTGCACTTAGGGAACCTTCACCGGAGAGTTCGAGAAAAGCCCAGGTTCAGTTGCTGTGCTTATAGTGAAGTACAGAACCAGCAACAGAGTTCTTTCATTTGGTGTTGACATAGTTACTAAGGAAACACTAATATTCTGTAATTTTGTTAGAGGACATAATATTGAAATAGAAATCGAGGTCAGCTTCATCACCTTAGTTAATGTTAGGCAACATTTCCTCACTGCTGTAGCTCCCTAGTATGTGCCCTTGGTACCTGTAGATGAAGAGATACAAATGCATTTATAACATTTTTGATTGAATATGAAATCTTTATAGAAATACTTATCTAACAAAAGATAAGGCTATTGTTTAAAATTGGTGGAAATATTTTTAAAAATTATATTTAACATACCTATATAAATAGTCCTTACAAGAAATTCTTTGGTAAGGGCAAAACTAATTTTCCCATTTTCTAAGCTATTTTGGAGATATCTGATCCTTTCACACCAACAAAACTACTGTCAGCTATGTACAGTAATGTTTACTGATATTCATCCTTGGCTTCTTTGTTGGATATGTTGTTTTTAAAGGATCTTAAACTTTGTAGTGCCAGAGTGGTTCTCTTCTGTGCCATATATTGCAGTTATAAGGAACACAACTCTTGAAAATTAGAATCAAATAAGAACCTTCTCAATCCTAGGAGGATGCACTACAAGCTGCTCACCACAGATCCTTTCCTCTAGAATGATATTTGAATTCTAAAAAGTGAAATCCCCTTCATCTGTTTCTATCATCTGCAACATAAAACTGTTATGTTTGGTATCCATGACACTTGTCAAATAATATTTTTCTTTGGAACTCTTTTTGTTGTTATTGTTCTGATGTCTTTTATTCTAAAATTCATTTCTTTTTACCAAAAAGGAAAATAACTCAGCATTCCAAGTGTCTGTTGACTTTAAAATCCCCTACGTGGTGGATTAGATAAGCTAATATATATATATGTTTTTTTTCCTAAAATATAATGGCTAAAAAATTTCATCTTGGCACCTGTCTCTGTAAATCATTAGTGGAGTCTGTTAGCTGAAGTGGTACTTTATGCTTGGTTCCAGGAAGCCCTATACAAGTTGCCTTTGCAAATGGCTAGCCAAATTGCAGATACTCTTATGTCGTGAACTTCATAGTAACAACAAGCTCTTTTTAGCTTCCAGAAATAAATACATTCCACAGAATACCAAGTTGCATAATTTTTCTTAAATGTCACAGGAGAAGTAGAAGGCTTTAAGTCAAGTCCTTGTCTGTGGACCTGGTTCAGTTTTTAGTCCTGTTCCTTTTAGTCTTTGAACAGAATCGCCAGGAGCATGCATTCCAAAAGTTTGGTAAATTTGTCTTTCTAGCCTTAATTCTTATAAAGGATTATAAGGTCAATACACAGTTTTCTTCTTTTACAGCCCCACATCAAACTGGGTATGCATATTGGTGTGGCAAGTCTGAGATGAACCTCACTGCAATGCCTTTGAATTAGTAGCAATAGTGAAGATTAGAAATGGCCAGGCATAGTGACACATACCAACCACTTGGGAGGCTGAGGCAGGAGGATGGCAGGTTTGAGGCCAGCTTTGGCAACCTGGTGAGACCCTATCTTTAAACAAAAAATAAAGGGGTGGGGGGGCAGTAAGCTCAGTGGCAGAGTGCTTGCCTAGCATGAGGCCCAGGGTTTAATTCCCATTACAGGGGTGAGGGGGTGACCGGGTGATGGGAAAGAAAAATTAAAATTTTTGGTATGTGATATGATTGTTCATAAAATATGTTATAGCAATACTGCATACCACATGTCCTTTACAGTGTATTGTTTGAGAACTATAACTTTTCTTTTGAATTCCCTTTACAAAGCAGCCAAATATATAGGACATTCTCAAATAGTGTAATAATTCTCATCCTTTCTTAGGCTGTACTTTGTATAAAACATTCTTGCAAAAATCCAGTATTTGCAACATTTGAAAAATGATCATTTCTCTTTTTATTAAATTCTGTAGAAGAATGTGAATAAAATTCAACTCAGTAATTTAGTTCATTAGCTTTCATATCTTAAGAATCTTATTTAACACATTCTTTAAAGCTGAAAGAAACCAAGCTGGTTTTTAAATTCTGTAGTGCATGTTTTCCAGCAGCCATGTCACAATTTGGTTATATTTGGGTACATAGAATTTGATGCTAAGAAATCCTAGTTACCTAATGTTTTGGACATGAGAACCTATCAGAAACACTGATAGAGATACTATACAGGCTGGGACCTACCTTGCCATACAATGAATTTCTCTTTCTCTCTTCTAGCTATTAATTGATGATGATTTCTTCTTCACTGGCTTTCTTAAAATTTTCCTGGTAAAGTAGAAAAGCAACCTTTATACTGACGTTGGGATATTTAATGGTATTTATTGTTTCGTTTATAAGAAAAGGTTCATTCTTTCCTACTCTGTATTCATATTTATTTTTCTCCAACCTCTACTACACATTCTTCAGATATTTTCTAGTTAATAATTAGTGACTTCATTTCCTAGCTGTGGTGAGTAAACTGAGATAATAAAAGGTTAAGGTATAGGAGATTAGAGTTAGATCCTTAAAGGAGTCAGTCACCTAGGATAAGAATTATATATAATAACTACTGTGATGGATTGAACTTTCTTTTAGTTGAAATCAGTCTACTGTCTTACCAACTCTGTGCATTAAACACTAAGGTGGCTGTCTGATTTTTAGGACTCCTTTAAGAGAAAAAAAAATACTTATTTTATCTTCTGGGAAAGAACACTTTTAATTACTTAGCAAGATGATTGTATTATATAATTTACCCTTTAAAACACTCTAAAATAACTCTGATTCTCTTACTTCAGTTACAAATGAGAGGATGAATTGTATGATTTGAACACTGCTAGATTTATGTGTGTGTGAGAGATAAATTGGTGGAATTTTAATTGGAGTATCCCTGCCTCTTCTGTGTAGTTAGATACCATTCATCTAATACATATTGAGATTTCAAGACATGTGATCAAGACCGCAAGGCCAGGGAGTGGCCAGTTTTCCAGCTACAAAGTATAAAACTCCTAAGTCACCATGCTGCTAGTCACCAGCATGAAAACATTCCCCAACTCTTTATTTCTTCTATGTAATACAGGCCAGGTCCTTCTTCATCTTAGCAACTTCCCTGACTGTCAGAGTCTACCAAAATGAGGACTGCCATGTGACCGATGCTAATTTTTATAGTAAGGAAAAAAGTGGATGTTTGTGGGATCTTAGTGGCTGCAAACAGCTGTCTGGTGTATCTTTCTCACTTTCCATCTAAAAGACCCATGTCAAGCTTATCTCCAAATGAATTTGCTACCTGCTATAAAAATATCTTCATCTGTCTATCCCATTCTCCTTACCCAGTCCCTGGCTTATCCTTAGTTCTGAAAAGTTTAAGAAAAATTAATCAGAGAAGATAATGAACATTTTAAGTTACTTTCCTTTTCCATTGACAGTTGGTTAACATGTAAAATCTTTTCCATTAAATGTAACTTTTAATAATTATATATTATATATGGAATAAGATAAAGGAAACTGAATTGTGAGAATATAAATGCATCAAAAGACTCTGGTATCATGAAAGCACAAGAACAAAGCTGGAGATGGTCCCAGAATCCAAGATGTCCCAATAGCCTTTTGCATCAGTTTCTCTATTTTTGGTATTTTGCATAATGCATGGATACTCAGTTCAAATGAGAGGAGAAGTTTCTCCGTCAGACCCCCCCCCCCTTCTTTCCAACTCCTACCTTCCCCTTGCTGAGGAGGTAGTAGAAATTCTATATTATCTATTTTTATGAAACTTGTGATTTTGCCCACAGCATCTGTAATGAAAGCAGGTTATATAATAAATGACTTAAGTGTGAACAGTGCTAATTGACTAAAAAAAATTAGTTATTAGCCTCTTCCTCTATAAACAATGACCAATTAGATGTTTCCATAATTCCATGTATTATGTATAGTACACTATAAATGTAAATGTAATGCTTGTTAAGGAAAGTGCAATTTATTGTACATTGTCCCAACAAATGTTTACTTTTATAATTGTCATGAACTTGAATTGGAGTAGTATCTTGTTTTCATGTGTGAATGAAGCCTTGTGAAATAAACAACTGCAACCAAGAAGGTAGCAAGGTGACTGTTTTGTGAGTCAGTGATATTTTTCAATGCGTTGTGTTGCCCATTTGGCCCCATTAAGCAGTAATAAACATTTGTTTGAAGTCCACATATGTCTCTAATGTTTTTTCATGTTGTTTTTATCCTGATCCATTTGAAGTTAGTGTTGATATAACACTTCTTATCTGAAGCCAGGCTGCGGTCAACTTAGAAAGAGCAGTTTGTTCCAGGACATACCCTGCAGAATGCTGTCCTGTAGAGCACTATTGCCAACAATCCCACCCTCCTCTCTATTAAAGTTTCTTTTCTTTCTTTCTTTTCTTTTCTTTTTTTTTTTTTTTTTTGTGTGTGTGTGTGTGTGTGTGTGAGCTGGGGATCAAACCCAGGGCCTTGTGCATGCACTCTACCAACTGAGCTATATCTCCAGCCCTCTATTAAGGTTTCTTAATTGTGAGTAATAGAAACCCTCTCAATAATTATTAATTAGTATTAATTTCCAGGGGCAATTAATTACAAGAAAATCTGAGTTTCTATATCAGGGGTCCCAAAACCAAACCACTGTGCCTAAAGGGATGGTAGGACAAAAAACTGGAATGCCATCTGGAACCCACCCAAGCAACCAACTCTACAGTCCCTCTTCTGCTTGTCTTCCCAGATGATGCTTTTCTGCTTTATTCTCTCTGAAAACAAGCATTCTGTGCTTCTAAGTGCACAACTACCAAATTACATGTCCTTCCTTCAAATGACAAGCATAGCTGGACTAGCTATCTGTTTCTTAATCCTAAATTCTTAGAGAAATCTGACTAGCAGCAGTCACCTGATCTGGGATTAGCCAGTCTTTCAAGGTATATAGCAAGGCAGGTAGTATTGCATGGTTCAAAATGTCAGTCCAAAGGTTCTCTCTAAAATGGAGGCAATGTGCAGAGAGAGCCCAGTAGTGTCTATTCTGCATTGTATTTTGCCCTGGGAGTCCATGGAACCTAATTGAAAGCCAAGAAGTTGGCCAGCTCCTCTAAATCCAGAATGTATTAACAATATTACAGCTTGTAAAATTGCAGCTTATGGCTCATTCTAGACCACAGGAATCTTTACATAAGTACAATAGTTGAAATTATTCAGAAAAAAAATCCATTGAGTTTTGCAGGAGGTCATGAGTGGGCTTGACATTGACAGTAAGTGGCGGGGGGGGGGGGGGCTGATTACAGTGGGATGAATAAGGAGAAGGATTTCATTTTGAAAGGAAAATTACCTAAAACTTGGAAACAAGGCAAAAAGGTGAGTGACATCTTTCAATATCAAATCAAGGACCGGAGGATAGCATTTTGTTCTCACTTTTTACTATTGATTAAAGGTCATACACTTAATCTATGTTAATTTATAGACTTGTCCAATAGGACTATAAATATCAGTGAAATGAATAACTCTGAAGGTTATGAATTTTTTACTTTGTAATACATTATTAACCAGTTTTTATCTAACCTTGCAACCTTACACTAATATTCCACTATTAATTTGCCTATGTATACCCAGCTATTCAAATACACCTTGTGAAAGGAAAGTGAGAAAGCAGGAGATTGATGAGCCAGAAATGAAAGATGGAGACCAGACAGAGATACACAGCAGAGAGTTTAAAACAGAGAGGCAACTTAGGCTTGAGTTCTGGGGCTTTTATGGGGGAGGCTCAAGGATT